TGAGTGTTGTGTGGTGTTTTTTTTTGGTGGGGAGGGGGGCCGGGTTATGCGACCTGTCAGTCAAAGGCCAATGTCACGTCAAGTGATTTGCTGGGACACCCAAAAGGGACAATCCCCCTTTTCGGCTACCAACTTTACTGGCTGAAAAGGGACCGAGCCTCAGAAAACAGGCCCCACATGAGCCACAATCAAAACCCGGGTAATTGGAGGGGAGTAACGGACAATCTCAGAAATACATGGGTGCGGCCGCCTTTTCAATTCTTTGTATGGTTCTGGGATTACGACCATTTGAATACCGGGCTTTGATTGTGCCTCGCATGTGAAAAATGCTGCGCTGAGGCAGGAGCAGTACAAGTGTTTGGTCCAGGAGGCTGCCAACTGGACCTTGGCTTACGCCACAGAGACAGGCGCCGATCCGATCGGTCCAACCGCTCGCTCCTCGCCGCTGGCGCCATGCGGAAGGAGGGGATGTGAAAGGGGAAGCCCTTCACCAGTTTCTTCCATTCGCTGAAATGAGTGTGTTTTTCCCCTGTTGGTTTTAAAGGGGATCGAGTGCTGCTGCAAATATTGCTATTTGTTCCCGGGGGCTTAAGCAATTGGAAGGTTTGAACATGTTTGAACCAAGGGGGAGGTCTGTATGTAGTCTTGGAAGCGCTCAGTTTAAGGAGAAGTACATGGGTGTTGCACTCTTCGAACCGGTCAGGCACCAGTCGACTTGCCAGCAGCTCCCCCAAGTGCCTTTGCCAGGAGTGGCCTGGGCCAAAAGTGTTTCTTCATGTCTCTAGTTGGTATCATGTCGGTTTCTCTTTGGCGCCCTTGCTTGCCTTTCTTTGTTTGCCTTTGCCACTTCAAGGCTCAAAACAGCTTGCTGGAAATTGAGTGGTTCACAGTTTCCCCAAGAAAACCCGCGGCTGCGGCCTAAAACTCGCATCCCTTGGACTCCTTGGACTCTTTGGTCCCGGCAGGTGGGGACATCTTGAGCTGCTGGTGCACCGCGCAGGGCTATGAAGCCCTCATCTCCCAAGAAGGCCGACGTGCCGCCTGTGCCGATGCGGAAAAAAACTCGGGGCTGGCCACGTTCTGTGCACCCCTGGAGTGAGGATTCACAGTGGTTGGATCAAGGGTTAGGCTCAGGAAAGGTGACAAAAATTGTGGGTTTTTGGGCCTTTGGCCACTTTGACTGAACTTGGCCTACCCCATTGAAATGAGTTTAAGCCCTTATAGTACTAGGGCGGGGACCCACTTTCTGTGGGTGAAAATGGGAGTTCATCAATGGGAGGTGGACGACGGTTGGTATTCAGGTGGGCCATTGCAGGCATCTTTGCCTAAGCTGTGGTTCCTGGGAATCACGCTTGTGCGCGATTCCGTTGGCATCCTTTCTGAAGTTCACCAGCTTGCACCCTTTTGTAGTATGGGTTGGTCTCAAGATGGAGCAACCATGAGCAACCCCTGACATGGTTGGTTTGCTTTTGGTGCCCTTTAGAACAACCCAAACAATGGCATCAACTCCAAAAAAAGACGAGCCATCCATGTGAGAAAAGGAACCTCCTTTGAGGCTACACGAGAGACTTGTCTTGGGTCCGAAGGCTTGCCGGGCCAAAGGCATCTGGATCTCACAATTGCAACGACTCATGCAATCGGCTCTATGTCTTTTTTAGGGGACCCCCCACAAGAAAGGGAAATAAAATAACGTTTTCCTTTCAGTGGCACGTTAAAGCCTCCAAGAAAGGGGTACCCTCCAAACAGACACACCCATGTTGTTCGATTGAGAGAGATTTAATAACATATATTGTTTTCTCACCCTCTTTGTTTGACAACTCACAGCCTGAGTTCCTGGACGTTGCACTTTTTAGGAATACCATTTTAGCGCACTTTTTTTCGGCCAACCAACTCAAAAAGTGAGACACCTTTTTGAGTGCCTGAAGTTGGCTGGGACACTTGCGATCCGCGCTCCGTCTGCCAGATTTGCGGAACGCCTGCGCGCCGTGGTTCTTAGGCGGGAGGGGAGAGGATGGGCTTGTGCTGGGAGAGGGGGAGAGTGGGCCGGTTTTTGAGCGAACCTGGCCTCAAACTTCCGGTTGATGTCCCCAAAACCCTGCCAAGTCCACCTTTGGTGACGAAGCGCCTTCAAGTGGTGGGCAAGCCATCCTAAGTGGAGATGCCGAGTGGCAGTGCTACTGCTATCACTCAGCCTTAGATGTGCATTCCCTGCTGTTATTCTCCCAGCAGCAAGTTTGATATCACCTGACCACCAGTGTCGCTGGTCGCATGCGGATTTGGGCCGGCTTGCAGTTCTAAAGGGATGCCAAAGGGTAAACCAACATCTTCGGGATGCCGCTTTTGAAAGACGCGCCTAGTTGCAAGCGGGAACGTGTCAACGCAAAAGGGACATGACACCGAACTGAAAGCATTCGTTCCGGAATTGCATTTGTCTACAAGGACGGCATCACTTTCATAAAACTATATGACTTTTTAAATTCATGGTGTGTTATGTTTCATGACACACGGACACACCTGGCATTCAGGTCTTTGATACAAGGCCTAGCGATTCGCCACCCCGTCAGAACTGGCGGCGTCCATCGGCATCGGCACGGCCTCGTCCATGGCGCGGATCGGGCAAGGGGGGCCGTTCCAAAAAGGGGCCGGTCTAGGTTTGCGAAAGCTGGGTTTGCAAAATATGGCTTCGCCAAAACACGAGTGTAAGTGTTTGTTTGCGAAAGTTGTGGGGCAGGTGTTGGTTTACAAATGGGCTGCAATGGGTTGGGCTTGTTTGGTTTTGCAAAAAGGGGGATTCCAAACAAAGGGGTTTCAAGTCTCAAGTGGTTGCAACATGGGTTGAAGCCTCAATGCACCACACATGACTGTCAGATTGTGACGGTGATCAACTTGGTGCTCCAGCTGATCATCGCTGCGCTGGCCAGTCACCAAGAAGCAGAGTGCATCACGAGACCTTAAGGGGCATCTCCAGTCAGACCGCATGGGGTGCTTCCATTTGCTGAATTGGTGATGTCTTGCCTGTCCCTTTGTTTCTAAAGATTCTAAAGGGAAAATTGGCAGGACCAGCAACGATATGCGATTTTCAGGCATTGAGCCAACAAGCGCAAATGGAGGTGTGGCGACCGATTCGACCGCACGAGGCAGAGTTTGAGCGACCTGTGTCGCAGACTGCCCTGAACAGCTCCATGATGAAGAAGGCGTCGTTGTGTGCCTCGAAACCCTTTGCCTCATTGTCAGGGGCCCCCCAAAGACGGGACCATGCGAAACGGGACCCCCCGAAAAGGCACTCTATTGGACCCTAGTAGGCTTTATTAGTCGCTAGCCCCTATTGGGATTCGCGGACCCCCAGTTGGGGGTTCCTTGACAACCATCGGACTTTTGGGTCGTGGGTTGACAGCAGCTCAAAAAAAGCACTAGGAGACCGAGCCACAACAAACCCTTGGTCAGGTTTTCTGTTGTCCTTCTGGTGATTTCCTTTTTGAATCCCCCACAAAGAGGTCCATGCTTAAGACATCCGCGCACTGAAGACTCCGGAGGTTCCCAAGTAATGAAGGAACTCCAAACACGGCCTTTCGGTTTCCACCTTGAAAAAAAGTACCAGCTGGTTGTCTCAAACCATTGGGGATTCCCCAAACATGGCCACGGTTTCCCCTCTAAATGTCCCTTTGAATCCACCCAGACGGAGTTTCCCACACTCGGAACATGGTGAGTCTCTTCATTTGACTCAATTTTCTTCTTGGCAGGCTTTCTGGGCGCAGACCTTGAACACAGGCTTTGCGGGGGCCTGAGGTCCATTTGTGGGCGGCTCTTGAAAGCTTGACGGTAGAACATGCCAGACAAGATTTATTAATACCCCCGCCCTGGTATGTGTTTTCTGTGGATTTTCCCACGTCAGCCGTGTTGTGTGCGGTTCGGCATTTTCTACCATTCACAACTGGGGGTGTGGGAGGAGGGAATCGAGGATCGGGTTGTATATAGCACGTCTTATTGCCCTTGATCGGGTCTGCTGAAAAAAGCGTTTTGCGAGTATCAAAAACTTGCACAGCAAAAACCAACAGGGCCATGATTGCTCATATGCAGCGGTTCTAGCAAATTGGCGGTATCAGTGGAATCCCTTAATTATCACGACTGGGTTAACACATCTCACCTCCAACTGGCCCAGGCCCGTTCTAGCAGATGCAGAAGTACTGAAGTTGGCAATGATTTCGGGCAAGCTGAAGTGACTGGCCAACAGATGAATTCATCCAGTTTCATTAAACGTTCAAGTGCTTGGCTCAAGAAGCTGTACAAGTTGGATCACGGCCTGGTGGCATTCAAGGGAGACCATTGTGGGGTGGTGGCCCAGAAGCAACTGAGTCCACTGCATATTCCTTACATGCTTGAGGACAGGTTTTTGAACGCGACCTCTACCCCTTTGAAGCTTCCGATTATAGGGTGCCATTGCTTTCTCAAGTTGAGTCATCCAAATCCTGACCCCATAGTAGAGTTTGTCTCGCTGACTAAGGTGTTGTTCCTGGTGAACTACTTCGCTCCCGAGGTGCGACACCATTGAAGTCGTCCGTTTCTTTCACCGAATGGTAAGACGCTCACGACGTTTGTTGATTTTTTGTCGTGGCAACCTAAGGCATTCACCAGGGCAGTGGGGACATGGGAAGATACACATGGCCTGAAGAGTTGTCCCTGGCGCAATGTCAAGTATGGGCTGACTGAAGAGTAGGCTTTGATGGGACACCATGTTTTCTTTTTTTTTCCGATACCTTTCGGGATCGCTACCTCCCTTGAAGTGAAGCAGTTGTTGTGAAGGCCTTACAGTCTTATGCGAGTGGGAAGAGCGATTCTGAGAGCCCCAGAATCTTGCTTCTGAAGGAATCAACTTGTGGGTGTTGGGACTGAACCGGTTTTGGGGCTTGAGGGAAGCCAGCTGGATGGTTCAGCTTGGAGCCCTGGGCTCCTTCCACGTGGCTCCGTCGTGGCAGTTCTTGCGGAACGCCGTGCTGGTGCTGCAGCCAGTAGGCCTGGGACCAAGCGCACAACCGCTGGTTGTGCCGGTGCACGTGAGGCCAAGAGAGCTCTGTTGCCCAGTGGTGCCCTTTTTCTCCTTTTTTGGGTAAGGGTTCCAATTTAACTCAACCATCTCAACCAACCAAAAAAGGGTGCCCTTTTTTTCACATGGCCACTGGGCATCTGAGGGAAACAGGATGTGATGCTTTGTGTCTCAACTGAGCTTTGTTTCTTGGGCGTTTGGGAAATTTCTTAGGGGACGAACTGCATACGATCCACAGGGCGTTTGTGAAAAAGGCGCCCTTCGATTGGAGTCTCAGGATGGATCCTCTTCCGTGGACCCTTCGCAGACATCACGCGGGGCTGGTATGCGATCGTGGGCCGGGCCCGGAGAGTCGAGCTGCGTTCGATCAGGTTCCGGTTGGGTCCTTTTCTTTCGACCAAAAGGGATTTGGGTTTTCAAACTTCCGACTTCCCAAAAGAAAACCACACTCCAAAAAACGCCCAATTTTGTGTTTCCAGCTCTGGCCCCGGTTGCAGACGACGAACATGAGGTGTTACGCTCCTGACGAACATGGTGATCAATATGTTTGTCCCGGCCTGTGTGACCATCGCCAAGATGTTTGCGAATGGAGCCATGCGGCCGACGCCCCAGATGGACGATGGTCCGAGGACGGCGGAGACACTAGCCCTCGACTCTCTGAATTGAAAGGGGGCTACCTATTCAGATTGAGTGCTCTTGAAAATTAGCCTTCGCCTATTTCTGAGCGTCCGCTTGGCGATCGGTGAAAGGTTGAACGTATGAAGTCAATGAAGAGGCGCAACGTCGGCTGCGCTCAGGTGTTGGTTCAGTCGCGGAGTGGCGCACCAGGCGGGCTGTGCCACTGGAGAAAGGCCTTCCCACCAACAAGTGTACCGCAAGGGTTTCCTTGGCTGGTGTCCCTGAAAGTTCAACCAACCAAAAGGGTCATGACGCTCGAGAAAGACACATCCAAACATGCGAATGCCATTTGGGGGGTGTCATCTCTAAAGATTGTTCAAGCGCCTCCCTTTTCTTGAGGGTCTCCGCTAAAACCATCACGAAGCCGAAAAGAAGAATTGTTGTTTGGCGTTGGGGCAACTATTTTGGACACCCATTTGGAGACGTGGTCCTGTTTCAGTTTGTCTGGCAGCTTTGCTCGGGTCCTTTGACCGACACGGGCTGTTGGCATTAGTTCTTTTTGAGGGACCGTTTCCTTTGTGAGGAAAGGACAAAAGGAAATGGTCCTTGTCAAGATATTTGTTTTGGTTAAAGCATTGTGCTCTTCTTTAGGTTTAACCAAGCGAAGACAGGATGACAACGGTGTTGTCGCTTCTCAAACTCCAAATCCGGAAGATGCCTTCGAGCGATCGTGCTTGCGAGGCGGAGCTGCGGGAACTGTACACCAACCCGGAGTTCGACATCAAGCAGAAGTGCCTCTGACTGAAAAACATGAGCAAAACGTGGCGGCACATTGCGGGGTTCTCGTTTTTGTTTGCATTTGGTCCGTGGGAAATTCAAGGTTTGTCCCACCATGTGTTCGAGGTAATGAGCATGTCACGTGAATGGGCCCAGTCCGATTCAGGATGAAAGGAAGTGCAAGGGGAAAAAGAGAGCACATCCCTGCGTCACATCTGAAAAAGAGATGGTCAGTTTGGCCGAAGTCTTGTGGGGAGATTCTGTTGGGGATGTCGTTGTTGTGTGGCTTCCGTGCTGTGGCCATGACTCATTTACCCGGGAGGTGTGTCTAAACTTGACGCATTTGGTTCTGTCATTGTTTTTTGTAGGCTGCAAATACGACACGACTCATCTTTTGCTCATATGGCCATGGGGCAAGACCTATGGCTCCATTTTGGGGTGGATGAACCATTTGCCACCTCTTTTGATGCTCACTAGGGGTACAGGGTTTTGACAACCACAGCCATAGGCGTGAGCAAAGGCTGGTTTTTCCGTCTATGCCGATGCGGATGGATGGTTCAAGGGCTCCGGCCACGGAAGCAAGGGCTCCATGCGCGAGGTATGCCCAGCTTCTCACCACGGTCTTCGTAACTCTGCCGGGAGCCGAGAGTTCAATGGCGCAGGTGCCTGGACCCTCGAACCACCCATCAAACAGGGAATTCACCCCATGATGTTGGGGTTACCCATTGTTAAGTGGGACATATTTGAGGGTCCTAGTAGGCATGTGGGTCCAACAAACCAGATGTGCAAACTATAGGTACAGAGTCAGCGTGCCACGTGAAGTTGGCGAGACAACGGGGAGCTTACTGGCTAGTTGTCTTGCTGTGTATGCGGTTGTGTCGTTCCAAGATCCCATAGCTTGCCATAGGTAAGGGGTATCTGTGGTTATAATGAGGGCTGATTATATAAAGCATGCAGGTCATCTTGGTAATTTTGACCCCGGATCATTTAACCCCTGTTTTGTAATGTGGGGGTGTGCCCATCCAAAAGTGATGATTTTCCACCAAAACCAGGGAAAAGCACCCCCATATTACTAAACAGGGGTTGTGCTCAATCTGGGGTCAACAATAGAACCAAGAGCAAGAGCTGGACGCCGCTTCTCTCTCATTAAGGTATGAGGAGGCGTTACGGTGTTTGCCATCCACCAACCACTAGCAGCCAAGTCCATTTGGACTTGACACTCCCTGAACTAGCCGTTGCATCTCTGTTGACGTGAAACATTTGCTGAACTAGCCGGTGAACCCACGTTGAACTGTCACATATGCTGAACTAGCCGTTGAATCCATATTGGCATGAACCATGTGCTAAACTAGCTGTTCAGCTGTTGACTCCATGTTGTCGTGAATATTTTGCTAAACTAGCTGTTGAATCCATGTTGACCTGGCACACGTTTGCTGAACTGGCCGTTGCATCCATGTTGACGTGTTGGTTGATTTGTTGGTTGGATTTGTGTTGCGTGTTTGGTGTTCATTGTGTCCTTTCTCAACAAATGTTTGGTGGATGTGTTTCTTGGATTTGCTGTGTTTTTGTTTGTTTTTGCTCGTCATTTCACATTGTTCTTGATTGAGCAGTAATACATAATCACACACCTGTCAACAATATTATTCACAATACACACATATGTTTAAGATTCGTGGGTTTGGATGTGTGTTTTTTGGAGTTGTTGCAACGGTGGCCGTCGTTTGGATTTGGATTTCTGGGTCCCGTTCAAGGATGTACGGCGCGGGCCTGCCGTTGCTCTACTTCCTGGCCGCCGTCTTCATGGCGCTCCAGCCACGAACTCGGGTCACGACGCGGGATTTCGTCGGGTCGAGTCACGCGGGAGAGATGGGCCTATTTCAGGGTTCCGTTTTCCAACGACCCCAAGATAGACTGAAACCCAGGGGGTTCCCTTTGGGGGAAATCTACCACTGTTGGGTTTAAGTCGAACCCTGGGGCCGATTCTTGCGATCGGCGCGATGAGGGAATGAGGAATGGAATGAACCGGAAGGGGATTCCCGAAGAAGGGAAACCACCAGTTGTGTTTGCATTTTTTTTTCTCCGGGGTCATTCCAATTCTCATTGCCTGAGCATCAGCAAGTACTGTATATGCTTTACTTCATTTTGGAACGGGGGGGGGTTGTGTTGTTTTGTTTTGGGGCTGGGAGAAAAGGGGAGGGGGGGCAGGGAGAATTTGAGGATGTTTGAGGCATTTTGCATCACTTCTTGGACCAGCTAGCGTGGATCTTGGTGCTTGGTGTGTATTATTTGTTTGGATCGGGAGAATCGGGAGTAGAACATGCTGATTCTTGGGTCTTAAAGAAGAATGTTAATATCACGAAAGCACTAGCTGGAGTTCTTCTACCTAAGCTTTGCTTAGCAATCAGGGGGTGTGGGGGGGGCGGGCCCAAATGCCTCGGGCCAAAAAGAAATAAAAGCGGAATGGGGGGCTTGGACTTGCCTGTAAAGCTGACCGATTTGAAACGCTACAGCCTGTACCGTTGCAACTCTTCTGCGCAAAAGAAATGCGCCCGGTGGCTGACTGCTCCGGAGCACCAAATCAGCACTTTTGGGCGGCTCCCGTGGCGACTCTGCGTGTTTTGGGCCTCGTTCTGGGCCTCCCGTTGCAGTTTTGCGCGCTCGCCGGCCGACGGCAACGGGAGAGCCGGCCGACGGCCCGAAACGGCAACGGGAGAGCCCGAACAAGGCTCAAATCAGCACTTTGAGGCGGCTCCCGTGGCGAATCTGCGAATCTGCGTGTCTCGGGCTTCTGCACAGGCGTGGCGCGGCCGTTGCAGTTTGCGCGCCGGCCGACGGCCCAAAACGGCAACGGGAGAGCCCGAACGAGGCTCGAGAGCCTCAAATCAGCACTTTTGGGCGGCTCCCGTGGCGAATCTGCGTGTTTCGGGCCTTGCCGGCTGACGGCCCGAAACGGCAACGGGAGAGCCCGAACGAGGCTCGAGAGCCTCAAATCAGCACTTTCGGGCGGCTCCCGTGGCGAATCTGCGTGTTTCGGGCCTTGCCGGCTGACGGCCCGAAACGGCAACGGGAGAGCCCGAACGAGGCTCGAGAGCACCAACTCAGCACTTTTGGGCGGCTCCTCGCGAAAGCACTAGCTGGAGTTCTTCTACCTAAGCTTTGCTTAGCAATCAGGGGGTGTGGGGGGCGGGCCAATGCCTCGGGCCAATGTTTTTTTAAAAGCGGAATGGGGGGCTTGGAGCTGTTCTTGGGCCGCGGGCGCCCGAAACCGCAACGGGAGAGCGCGAGCGAGGCCGAAACGCACCAAATCGGCACTCTCGTTGCGGGCCTCCCGTTGCTGCGTCACGCAACAGCTCCTGCGCGACGCCGCAATGCCGTAGCAAAAAACCTCGCGATCTCTTGCGCTTTTGTCACTTGCTTTTCCCTCGCGCATTGCATTCACTTCTCTCTCGCACAATGCTTTCGTTCCCGCCTCGCTCAAGTTTGGTTATGCCAACCTTTGTTTTGAAGCAGCACCCGGCCATCGCATGCAGGCAAGAAATCCTATTTTTTGAGGTCCACTTAGGGCGAGGTGTGCCTGTCCTTGAGGATTGGCGCGGGCCAAATCCTATCTGTATAAACCTCGGCACCTGACAGTCAGACAGTCTTGGTTGTCAGATAGGCCCTTGGGATGGTTCTGAAGGCTAGAGAATGTCTTGCCTGTTGCGTTGGGTGGGTCAAAGGTTCCTCTTGAGCACAGATCTGCGCGACCGGTAAAGCACCAGGCGAACGCCCGAGGCACTTTGTCTGTTGCAGATCCACAGCCTCAGAGCCGATCCCGGTCTCGACATCTTGGGGAAGGGGAAACCCCGAAAATTCGGGGGCGTCACCAAACAAGTTGAGAGTTTCTTCTGAAGCCGGGCAGCTCGGATTTGCCACCTTTTTGCTCAGGTTCTGGGCGGACAAGTACAACCTGCTCTGGGGCTCCAAGAGGCAAGTTGAGCAAAGAGTCAATAGGTGTGCGGTTGTTGGAGGCTGCCCCATTTTTTGGGTCGTGTCTCAACATTGGGAAGTTGTAGAGGCGAATTCTGTTGGGTCTGCCTCAAAATGGGACTGAACGTTTGAATGAGTGGGACAATGGACTACGAACCCCATCACCAAACCTGGAACCCCTTTGAACATGTTTCTGAGCATTTCAACACGGGCCTTGTTTTGGATGGTGTTCAAAGGGAAAATGAAAGGAACCCGAAAGGCCGGCCCTTTTGAGGGTGGCATGTTTCCTGTTTTGAGACACAACATAACAGTGCTGAACTGGGGCACACAGCCCCAAATAACCGCGAGAAATCAAACTCCAATGCTATATGTGGCTCACGTGCCGGAATATGTAACCATGCTGCACCCACTAACCATGGTTTTTCTTCCAACCATTTGCCCTTGGCTGGTTTGCAGGGTAGCTGAATTCCTCTTGCACGGCGTGAATGGACTTCGGCGTACCGGCTGGAGTATTCCAGCGACCCTTCCAATTCCATTTCCACGGGCTGGTAGAGGAACCATGGCCCCCCGTTTCCGAGGGAACTTGACTGGGCAAAGGTTTACGTCGGCATTTTCCACCTTTTCTGTTGGCACGAGCCTGATGTCCAGTTCGGGGCGAAAGAGCAATCAGCCCTTGAAGGCAAGTGGGTTCAAGACAAGATGGTGTCCACTACCCCCAGAGAACTGCCTCGTCGGGACTGTAAACAACCTGGTTTCCCCCCCTGGGGTGGTGGAAAACATGGCCATGAAGACTCGCCCTCTCTGAGAGTTCTTTCCTATTTATTGTTTCATTTGCACAAAGGGCTGTGCATCCTTGAAATACTCGCAAGCATGTTGGACAGTTGCCCAAAGTATGTCCTTCCCCCCGCCCCCTCCCCCCCAAAAAAAAACGTCAAACAAAAGCAGAAAACAAACGTGTGTCCGATGGTGTCTCCTCGAAATCAACGCGCCCACTTTTCCTCACTCGTCACCCACCCGTCAGTTTTTTCTGGGTTTACCAACTCGAAATCAGATTCCCAGTTGGGTCGACCCACCCACCCAACTCCGCGTGTGGTTTACACTGGACATTTGCTCGAACATCAACCAAAAACGCCCACCAGTCACTCCCATGGTTCATGGAACTCGAGGCCCCCGCATTACGACACCAAGATGGCCAAGGAGGCGATCGAGAGCTGCTTTTACGCCGAAAGCCAAGGTTTCGCATCGGATCGACTTCGCTGGAGTTTCGCCGTGGGTTTGCTTCAATCGGTGTGTCTTCCCTGATAAAACCAAAACGGCTGATGCCAGCTCCTCAAGATACAAATTTCCTGGGTGTTCCTTCGGAGTTAAACTAGTGAATTTCAAGGGAACCAACAGGGGGTTGATACTTGTAAATGTGGTTCCAGAGCTTCTATTGAGACCTGTTGCGTCCTTAACCCTCGAAATGTCTGAGGGGGCTTTTAGTTTCACTTCCAACCACCTCCTAAATCGAGTCCAGCAGCAATCCTTATCCCGAATTCATGTGGGTGATTCTAATCAGTACAGTGGTTCGTTGTTGGTTCTTAGGGTCTGTAGCCATTGTGGGGCGTGGCCACGAAAATCAGCCGGATGGTTCTTTAAGTCTGCATTGAGTCTGTAACCGGCCATAAATCGGAGTGATCTGAGGCCATTCCACTCCATTGCGCGCTGGCCATCTTGATGCTGGCGGCCCCAGATCCTCAAAGTGAGAAGTGCTCTTGCGCCAGTCTGAGCCTTCGGGGTGAAAGACTTCCAAAGTCAAACCCTTGACTCGGCGTTTCAATCGACCGGTTTTCAAACCATCGGTTCAACCGAAGAACTCGCCACGCGGCCTGAGGTTTGGCCAGACCTGCGTCTTCCCCTCCAACCCGTTGGGCGGCGACCTCGCTGACTTGGCCAACCAGGCAAGGGCGGAAGCCATGGATGCCATGGCACCCAAAAGGACGGCCGGCGGGTCCAATGGCGAACGAAAGCGGGATTCAAACCAGACATTTGGTAAGGGTTGAAAGGATGGTGTTGGCATGAGCAGCAAGGCTTTGAGAGATTGTTTGCTTAGATTTTGAAGGGGGATGTACAAACCTGGGTACGTTTCTTTGACTCCCACACCACGCCCCACAATGGTCTGGGTGTGTGTGTGTGTGTGTGTGTGCCTGTGCAAGCGCATGAGTTGAGTCAGAGGCCTCGCGTGAACAACAATCACGGCGAAACCCAGTTTAATTGGCGGATATGGGCGTGGCTAAAAAGAAGGAAAGGCTAGGGGCCATTTTCGGTACAGTTGTTTGAGACATAGCCATGTATGGGAATCTCTCTTTTGGAGCGGCTTCATCTTAGTCACGTTGGAGGAACCTTCCAGGGAAATTGAGGTTCAGACCCCCGCCTTGCAAAACACCAAAAGCAGCCTGCTTCTACATGGATGTCAAGAAAAAGTCAATTTTGAAGTCATTTGAACACTGAATGACAAGTCATGTTCTGGCAAGTGTTTTTTTAGATACATATATATATATAATATAAATATATATATATATATATATGACACCACAACTGCTGAACACGCATTGGGCTTTCGGTTGGGTTTTGGGACCCCAAACTGCACTTGCGCTGGGAATGGATCGAATATGTCTTGCTTTGCGAAGCGGTCATGCTTGGTCTTTCTCAAAACAGGACCACTGCAAAATTTGTGTGGTGTCCACCCATGTGTGTTTTCCTTGAAGGCGACCTTTTCTCAACAAAAACGGTCCCTGGAGCCCCCGAAAAAGGTTGGGGCTTCCTGCTTTTTCTATCGTATCCTCAGCAAAAAGCGGCGCCTCCCCCCCCCCCCGCCCCGTCGGCGTGTGACGACCTCAGGGCGCCAGCTACACCCCCGGCCTGTTGCAGCAGTTCCTGCCGCAGATCACCCGAGAGCCGGCGGCCTGGATCGATCGATGTCCGAGGGCCACGTGGCCACATGGGTTCGGATCGTGAAGCCTAAAATGTGTCTCAAAATAGGGAACCCCTTCTAGATGCACGAGTAAAGGTGCATCCATCTATGCCAAGGTGTATGAAAGGCTGATTTCAAAAGCACAGGCTTTATGGCGGGCCGCTCTCTTTGGCTGAGGGGAAGCAAAAGGAACCGCCAGTTCCTGGAGGAATTGGGGTAAGAAAGCCAAGACCTGTCTAACCATCTAAGAAGCAAAGTCAATGGCTGAGACGGCCGCGGAAATGCGTAGGGAATCCGGCGTGTCGGCAACGATTTCAAAAGACGCTGAGTTCCTCGTCGCTCCAGAAACGCTTCAGAATTCTGGCTCGAACCGCGGCACCTTCAATGGACCTACTCATTTCCTGAGTGATTGAACTTTACGTCTTTTTTGTGTGGACGATTTTTGTAGTAAGCAAAAGTTTGGTTACTCTTTTGGGAACCGGCTTGATCCCGGCACCTTCAATGGACCCATGGTTGACGTGTGCCGATGTAGTAAGCCTTCTTTGAGCCATGTGTTAGCTCATCCCAAGCCACCGGCTGCGAGTTGGCCTTGAAAGGCAAGGCAGAAATCAGAAGCAACCGTGGCGACTTTTCAAGGCCTCTAAACTTCATCCGTTTGGGGGCAGCCCTATGTGAAGCACCTCCCTTTGGCCCGGAGTCAGTCGGATGATTTTTCTGACGCCTCAACTTGTCTTGGACGCGTAGGTCGACCTGGATGTTCTTCCTGCTGCTGGTGCTGCTGATTGTACTGTGGGCCCGGGCCCAAAGCACTCCGAAAACCGCAAAGAAGCATTACCCCTCAAAGGGTGACAGCACATCTTTCAGTTGCTTGACATGGTACCGTTTAAATCCAGCCGGGCAAGCAAGATCAGATGCACCCAAATCCAAATCCATTTAGTGATCAGAGGTTACACATTGTGGACATCCCCAACCCTAGATTGGTTCGACAACAACCGCCCCACTGAAAGGTGGTTGGCTTTGAATACCTTTCGATGCTCCCTTTGCTTCTGCAAGAGGGAACAAATGTACCAAAATTTGGTAAATGGAAGCAACGACTCCTGCGTAACCCTAGTTTGCTTTTGAGCCACACCCAAATGAACAATTGGCTTCAGCCGTATGTGTTACTTCTTTGGATCCCTAGCACCACAAACGCAACCTTGTCTCATTGCTTCAAGGGGTGTCGTGGCTTTGGGGAGGCCCTCAGATCCAGGAATCCTCCAACGTGGCGTTTCTGGTTGCTTTCGAGTCCGGATTTCATCCAAAGCTCGGGGGTTTTGCCCTTGGACCCCCCCCGTTTTGGGCCATGAAGCGAGCCCTCAAAAAGGACTTCTCGAGAGATTCGCTAAACCAGAAATAGATCCTGGCCGGCAAACATGGGCAACATGTTGCAGCCTTGACAAAAGACAAGTCGTCAATGGGTAAAATGTGGCTTTTAGCACTTTTCCACCAGGGCTCGCAACGCAATGCGAAGAGACATCTGGTTGGTCCTAACAGCTCCTAGAATGAACCCTGATTTTCCCTGCCCCGAAGCTCTAAAGAATCATCACCACACTTCCTGAGTTCATGAACTTGATACTTTCAAGACCATTTGAGTGATAAACGAACAGTTTGGTTACTTGCTTTTGGCCAAATCTGGAAAGTTAATCCCAAGCATAGCTGGTTTACCTCACTTCCATCCTGTTTGGCCAATCTACCTAGAGTCTCCATGACCCTTAACAAATGGGTCCATGACCCCTTAGTTCTGGGTAATGAGGGGCATGGAGACTCCAGGTACCGGGAAGCTGGTTTCATCCCATGCCCACTGCGGCCAACCCATGGGGGGCCGGAACGAGGTTCTCTGGCTGGTGCTGTGGATCATCGGGGGCACGGCCTCCACCGCCTCGGACTTCCTGGCGCGCGCGGGGGGGAAGCGGAAAAGCGGAAAGCAGATGGACTCCATAGGTGTCCTTTTTGGTTGATTTGTTTTTTTTGGTTGATTTGGTTGATTTGGCTGATTTGATGGTCGATTCCTGGTACACCTGGAGGTGAAAAATCAACCAGGGCCATCGATTTTCCCAAAAAGGACACCTATGGGATCGACCAACTGGATCTGACGAGCCACTCTTCGTGTTTCCGACTTCTTGGGGCTGCTTCTCGTGGCCCCGCACTCGACACTGCGCAAACGCAAAGCCCAAGCTCAGAGAGGCTCAGAGTTCACCAGTTCACCACCCTGAAAATGTCTGGGTCAACTTTGGGCGGAGGAAAAGGTGGTGGGTGGTGTGCAGCAGGGCGTCCGGTGATTTTTTTCGGAGTTCCGAAACGTTACACGAGGTAGGATGAGTTTGTCGGTCCCATGGCCAAAAGTAAGAGAGGTGGGTGTGCTGGGCGTCTTGCAACAAGAGAGGCGAAAGAGAAAATATGTTTTTGTGGCAGCAAAAAAGGGGGCCAAAGGAAGGGGGAAGCTTGTAGGGCTAAAATGGGGGCCAAAAGACAAGGTGAGGTCTGTCAAACCTTCTGCGATGGAATATGCTACCCCAAAGCACAAGCGATGGAACACAACAAGTGGCGAAATGTGCTCAAACTCAGTTCTTTTGCATATCTTGGCATATTTGGTTTTCTGTGTTTTCACTTCCGCGTTTGGGCTTGATTCATCTTGAATGGGGCCAATGGGCTTAAGCTCCCTCGGACCGGGCCCCTGTGAACAGGAGTTCTGCACGAGCTTGCAGTTGGAATCTGGTTGCATTCCCCACCATTCCCGGTTGAGGAGGTCTAATCAAGCAGACCTATTGCTTGCAGGTTTGCAGGTGGTTTGCAGGTAAGAAGGGCAAGGATTGTCCCAGCCTCTAGGTTGTTCCCTGACATTCGATAATGGGACTGCCCTTTTGGTACCAAGGAAATCAGATGCGAACTGAGAAACGCCTTTTCTGTTACATTAACGGCCCCTAGGCAGTGCGTCCTTTCTTCCTTTTGAGCAGCGCCCAAAAGAGCCAAGGGCAGCTTTTTTCTTTTTTATTTTTATTTTTTTACCAGAGGGTTCTAGCAAGTGCGGATTGCGGAAAGTCGGAAAGTCAGAAATTCGGGTTCCTTCAAGCGTTTGCATTCTGCCGAACTCTCAAGTTTGCTTTCGGGGGGTGGGAACCCCGTACCAGAAACCCGATTCAGCCGGACATTTTGAGGATGGTTCCCCGACGCGAAGTGAAGCAAAGCGCCTTGAAGCAAAGCGCAGGTGGCGCTTTGCTGCCCCCGCTGGCGCAAGCCCTTGAGCCCAGTTCGCAAGGCCCTTCTCGCTCCGGGATTTTCGGGGGTTGGTATTGGAGGGTTTGGGGTTTTGGGGTTTGGGGTGTGCAACTCATTGGGAGGTTGCTCCTTTCATCCGATGGAAGTTTAATGCCCTGTTGTGTCCCCCCTTCCTCCACCCCTCAAAAAATCGGCCGTTGCAACTTGGGATGTCTCCCAATGGGGGCGGTTGTCCCTTGTTTTGGCCAGTTTCCTCTTGGCTACCCTTTCAGGTTCGGACTCGATGGGTCGCTTGTATCATGTGGCTCAGGGGTTGATACCGCAAGCCTTCATAGCTTTTTTTTTTTTTTAGCTTTTTTTAAAGCACATCCTCAATCCTGCCAGATGCGGATTAGGCGGTTTTCCGTTGCGGTGATGTCTCATTTCAGATGGCGGACTGTCGTAACCTCGGGTTCCACCGCATGTTGAGCCACCCCGTCTTTTGGGTTCAACGAGTTTTGATGCCGAAAACCGAGAGCCCAACGGAGCCTGAGGTCCCAGCCCAGCATGGAGGAAATCAAAGAGGCCCTGAAGCGCGGGGAGCGCACGCCGAGCCCTCGGCCTTCGGATGGAGGGATCGGTCGGGAGGGGCGGGGTCCCACTTTTTGAGCCCTCAGATAGACTCAAACCCAGGGCTTCTCCTTTTGGGGATAATGAACCACCTGAGTTGATGAAGTCTACCCAGAAGTAGCAAAAAACATGGAACCCTGCCCAGGGACGACCCGAAGACCCCAAACGGCCGAGAGGTCAAGACTCGCGAGAGGACAAAAAAGACCTCAAACAGCCGAGACGACCGTGCTGGCACCTTGTTTCTTCCTCCCCCGGGTTCTCATGTACGTTTTGATAATCTTTTGCCAATCCACTCTGGCAGTGATGTCTCAATATGCCAAAATAAGCAGTATGTTTGCCCAAGCCCCGCCGTTGGCGTTTTGGCTCTCAACAGATCATGAGATAGTCTGCCTGACACCGCATGGCACAACTCAACACTATGCTTCTTGCACCTGAGATAGGAATCTCCCTGATGATAGCTATCTTTCTGGATTTTCTCTCGGGAGTTTGATAAGAAAGAAGCAGACGTGTCTAACAAACGCTGAGGCGATTTGGGTTCCCTGTGAATTTGAAAGACTGGTGACTGACGAATTCCGAATCCCCGACTTCACCTCTTCGCCTCCGAGGATCAACGGGCACACCATTGACGTGGCCAGCAGTGTGGAGCTTAGATCTGCGCTCCAAAAGGGAGCCGTGTTGGAAGGGGCATTCGGGTGGAAAGTCAAGAGTCAAGAGTCAGCCCTAACATGGGGCGTCCTAAAGTGCTTTAAGATCCTAAAGTGCTTTAAGATCCTGCGGGCCCTTGTGATGGAAAGCAGCAATTCTTTAGTCTGACATTGGTGTTGTCTTCAAATGGGATGTTGAACCCGCAAACTGGGAAGGGGGGTCGGTTTGTTGGTTTCTCTTCGGAACCACCACAAAGGCTACCGAGCCTCAAGGAAAGGACAACCCACACGCACGTGTATCATTGAGGTATGTGTCGAACCTGCACTTTGGTGCATTTTGCTTGGATGTTAGGACTTTAACCTTTTGCTAACTAATGGGTTTTCCATTAAACCACTAAAATATGTTGGCTCAAGATGAAAAATACAAAAAAAAAAGAGATTGTACTGTCTGAGCAGGTGGCCGTCGTCCTTTGCACCATCGCGCTCGCAATCATGGCAATGTTCGCCGAAGACACAGCCACCCTCGCGGGCACAACATTGTTCGGCATCCACTCGGCGGTTCACAAGTAACCCTTGCTTCACTCGCAGCCGATCTCCGACCTGATAAACAGGAGCTGGTCGAACCTGAAGATCCACGTTCGCAACATCCAAGCAGCTCTTCCTCGCGATCGCGATCTAATGGTGGGGATGAACGATCATGCCGAGAAGATGCAAGATGCCCTGAGAGCACGAAACATCACCAGCGAGGAGGGCATTCCGGCATCGCAGGATGCGTACATACTGAACGCGCTGAGAGACGATGCAGAGCAAAGATGCCTGCACCTCCCCGGTCATGCAGCCTTGTGGCTTCCGCCAGCATGGGGAAGAAAAGCGGATATGCCGAAATGCTGCGGACAGACATGCGCGCACGTGTCAGGGCCGTGGCAGTTCCGGGTTTCGGCAAACCCGACAGCAGAGAGGTGAAGCTCATACAGGCGTTTACGTACGACTACGAGAACATGCTCCCATTTGACTTCCCCCTCGCACATAAGGAGGTTCTCACCTACGCGAAGTCATGCCTGTTTGACCCGAAGACAGCTATAGGCATAGGCATGATGTTCGCGGCAGAGGGAGGCTGCGTCTGCGATCAAACCACCCCAATTTGATCGCATATCTTGCAGGCCATACATATACGGCATACAGGCATCCTCTGGCGGAGCGGGGTACGATGAGGATGAGGCAATCGAGGAGTACCTCGGCAGCGCCGACATAGGGAAAAAGGTACAGATGGGTGAAGGATGCATGCACTGCAATGTCGGCAGACAGTGACAAGGCACCCCTCAAGGATCTCATCCCGGAGCACACCCTAACAGCTTTGAGCGACATGATGCAGCATGAGCCCGATATTTTCGACACGCCTGCCGGCGGTGCTGAAGCCAGGTTGCTGCCTGGCCAAGAACCATGTATGGGATCAGTGTGGTCTCAATGCCAGCTGATGCTTTTCAGACTTGACGCAGTAGTGCCATGCGTGGCTTGCGGGACTTGAGTTTTGAGAATCCAAGGGCGCACTTATCCCTGGTGGAGAGAATCATGGTGGACCGGGGTTCCAAGCACTTTGGTGGTCAGTCCTGGGTTTTCGCAAGTTTGCGGATCTTGCTGAAGCGCAAGCAGCACCCGCCGGTTGGTGGGCCCCTTGCTGCGCTGGTGGAGAGACTGCGTTGCTTAGGCGCAGACCTTGTCATTGATGATGATATCAGCAGCTTTCACTTGGCGGGGAGTCCCATTCAGGAGGTGCAGCTCCGGCTTCAGAGAGCGTAGGCGTGTATGACTGGGCACCAAGCCTCTCTATGCGTGAATCCTTTGCTGGCTTGCAATCAGTGGATTGGCGCGAAAGTAGTGATGCATGGCGCCGGTGGCCAGATGCCCAACAGGCCATCATGCGGCGGGCCATGAACGGCACTTTCTTTAACAATGGCAAGCCAAGCAAGTTCTTGGAGTGGAATCTTGCTGTGCGTGGTGTGGCCAAGAGGACAGTGTCATGCATAGGCATTGGGACGAGACTCGGGGAGCCTAGTTGCCTCATCCTTCTTCTGCTTTAGTCGGGCCACAGTGCCCCATCGCGATTGTCTGCATCTGCCATACTCAGGATCGCCCCGGGAGTCAAGCGTGAAAAATATACCACTAAATTTTAAACTTTTAGAAGGGGAGAAGAAAGCAATCGAGTGCAGAACCCTCCAGATGGGCCATGCCACACTCCCTCCAACCCCCCCCCCAAACAAAAGAGAAACAGACGCCTGGTTTTGACAGCCGCTAATCACCATTCACTCACATGTAATTATACTGCATGCAGTTCCACAATAGAAATTACCTTCTTGTTCCAACCAATCACCAGGAGTATATCCAAGACATTGATTCCTGGAGCTACCCTTGTTCCCCTTGCTTGCAGAGCAATGCTACGTATTATACATACATTGGCAAGAAAATACATGCCCCCAATAAACATGGAACCTGACATTCAAGGGTCCCTTTAAAGGAAAAATGATCGGTTCCATGTTACTGGGTGGGAGGCTGTCTATTTCATCTTGGCAGCTGATCCTTTAACTTGTGTTTCTGAGGAACAGCTTCAGCTTGCTTTATGCGATTTTCGACCGACCCACGGCGCTCGCTCTGAGCCATGTCCTGGAAGAGAGCACGAGACCACATCGAGCAGACCTTTCCTCCTGCCTCCTACAGGCGCGGGGATGCGATGGCCTTCGGATTGCTCCGGTTGCGTTTCCCCTCCGAACCAACAGAGGGCCCGCATTTATTTGAGAAACGGGAGCGATAGAGGGAAAATGGCAACCATTGCACAGGAATCATGGATGGAACAAATGATCAACCAGAACGTCAGTGGATGGGGGGGTTGAAGGAATGGTCATGACGATATCCATTTGGGAGTGAAAACGGCATCCACCCTTTTTGAGGTCCCCCCTATGTTGGGACGTTTTCTTGGACATTGGTGCCTGAGCTTGAGGATTGTCACAGAGGCTAGGAGCCACAGATGCTGCCAAACATCAGGGCCTTGTTTTGGGATATTTGGGCATTGCCGCCTTTCTCTTTTGGACTGGTGTATCGTACTGGCGAAATGAACCCGAAGAAACCTCAAGAGCCCATGTCAATGTAGCACAGAAAGATCCAGAAACACAGACATTGCCCGTAATTTACCGCTGGCCGCTCGCAGCTTACAAGCACACCCAGAGTGGAGTACGCTGGCACCTTTGCTGTGGCCACAAAGCTCCTCGGCGTATGCGAGAGTGACAGGACTTGGCACATGTCACTGGTGGTTCGGTTCCTACCTGGCTTAATTGGGGCTGTAGCAAAGCCCTATAAACCTCAATAACCGGCACAAAAGTTGATGGCTGCTCACATGCCGCAAAGTCTTTTCGTCAAGACTTTGGTGGGAAACCTTCGGGCTGTTTTTTGTTTTTGTAATTGAAACTATGGGATGATTTCCCAAAGAACATGTTCCATTGAGCATGTGAAAGCGGGGCTTCCGCCGTCCAAGCCATACGGCCCCCTTAGCCTGTTACGCCATGCCCGGCTTGGGCGAGAGCGAGATGTGTGGGAATGCGTTGTGTTGAGGCCCTCTTGCGATTGGACAAGTAACCAAAGCAGAACCAAAGCAAAGTCAAAGGAACCCTGACGCCCATTCGAGGTTGTCATTTGTGTGGCCTGGTTTTCTCGAAGTGTTCGATGCCCCCCTGCTCCGCCCGCCGAGCATGTTCTCATAATCTCGTCCACATGTTTGCAGCTGGTCCAAGTTGTTTGGGTCTTAATGACTTTCTGGATGTTCATGCAGGATTGTTTTTCTTAATATATTGGCCTTTTCCGGGTCGTACATGTCGTTGTTGGCTAGCTTTCGTTCACCCGCTACCTGTTTTTTTGGTGGTCTTAAAGGACAGCCAAAGGGGAAACCACCCGAGGGTTCCCCTCTCCAACTTCGCCTTTGGCCCTTGGCCGAGGTCGCCCTCCGACACATCGAGGCGATGGGGAATGGCGTTGGTTCCCGCTTGGGGGAACCCCTTGGGTTTAAGAGGCAAAGGAATCCAACCAAATAGGCGAGTTCCCAAAGTTCCTTGTTTGGCGAAGCCGCTTTGAGGTTGGTAGAGGACCCCTTAGAGGATTTGTAGACAAAACTACAGGGCCCCCAAATGAAACATGGGGTTTTGATTGCAACCCCAAGCCATACTGCGGATGGACGAAATCCTGCACCATCTAAGAAACCCGGGAATAATGCTTCCCCTGTAAATACCAACAAAACATGGTTTCTCATGGTTTTAATTTGGTGCAGGATTTGGTCCATCCACAGTCTTACATTCAACATCTAGAGGTTCACGGCGCATGTTCAATTGCGGCGTTTTCCGGCGTTCGCAGGTGAGGCGAACGCTTCCGACTCGGCCCTGCGATCTGCCGGCCAAGGCCACGCGAGTCGATTAGCCTGTTTGAGGAGATGTGTCTCCTCCAAAAGTAGAAGCACTATTGTTGCGTGGCCTATCGTGCCAGCATCCGGACATACATATCATGTTTGGGTTTAGATTTTGGGCAGATGTGGGTAATTTTTTTCAGCCACTGCAGTTGTTTTATATGAGCATGACTAAGTGGGGTTCCCAAGTACCGACAACCATATTCTAATCATTTAGGACCTCTAGTGTGTGTGTGTGTAAATCGGACTTTAGGCACAACACATGAGAGGGTCTTCCTTTTGGGTTTACCTTATCAACCTCAATTTGCTACCCTGAATCAAGCGTGCCCATGCCATCCGACGATTTTAAGGGCGAGCTTACCAAATCGGGGTAAAATGAGCTCGCCATGATGTAGGTTTGCTTGGGGATCCCTTTCAGTTTGTGGGATGTAGAATTAGGCTGTATCGGTTGGGAGGTACGATCCATGAGGTTCACTAGTTTCAATGGTTGTTTTTCAATGGGTCTATTTTGAACTGCCACCTTCTGTATTAATCAGTGATTCTGAGCAGTGGCAAGGGGGAGCCAGTGCAGCGACTATTAGGGGCATTACGGTTTATTGAGGCATTCATTGTCACATGGGCGTGTCTTGTTTGCAGGTGTTGTTTTTTCGAAGGAAAACATACCCTCCACCTGGGATCTGGAAATTGAGTTTGTCATCAAATGACATGGAAACCCGGCCGTGGGCTTTGGTGTTCCTTTGCCACAAAGGGCAAGCCTCACAAAAGCCACGGCCGCATGTATTGAGTTGTGTGTGTGTGTCTGTGTCTGTGTCTGTGTCTGTGTCTGTGTCTGTGTCTGTGTCTGTGTCTGTGTCTGTGCCTGTGCCTGTGCCTGTGCCTGTGCCTGTGCCTGTGCCTGTGCCTGTGCCTGTGCCTGTGCCTGTGCCTGTGCCTGTGCCTGTGCCTGTGCCTGTGCCTGTGCCTGTGCCTGTGCCTGTGCCTGTGCCTGTGCCTGTGCCTGCCTGTGCCTGTGCCCTGTGCCTGTGCCTGTGCCTGTGCCTGTGTCTGTGTCTGTGTCTGTGTCTGTGTCTGTGTCTGTGTCTGTGTCTGTGTCTGTGTCTGTGTCTGTGTCTGTGTCTGTGTCTGTGTCTGTGTCTGTGTCTGTGTCTGTGTCTGTGTCTGTGTCTGTGTCTGTGTCTGTGTCTGTGTCTGTGTCTGTGTCTGTGTCTGTGTCTGTGTCTGTGTCTGTGTCTGTGTCTGTGTCTGTGTCTGTGTCTGTGTCTGTGTCTGTGTCTGTGTCTGTGTCTGTGTCTGTGTCTGTGTCTGTGTCTGTGTCTGTGTCTGTGTCTGTGTCTGTGTCTGTGTCTGTGTGTCTTGGATCTGCCCCCATCCAGATGGTTTCATGCTGTTTTCCTTCCTTTGGCACAGCCACTTGTGCTGTTGACTGCATGTTGCCAAGGCTTACTTGTTGGCACTGATGCAATGATATGTTAATTGATTGGACCGGGGGCATTTGTGGGACCCAAACGTCAGCTGACTATTTGGTTCGAAAACCAACAGTATGAAGTATGAAGGTTTGTATTGAGCCTCACGATGGGAGCAGAGATCCTGAACAAATTGGCCACAGGGTTTACGTGTTTCCAGTCGCCCAAGTTGGCCCCAAGACCCTCTTCCTATTTGGAAAGGACCAGTTTGGACACGGACCTGCATCAAGGGAATCCATCTCCAACAGCAAAATGAGCAGGACTTGCTCTGATTTCATGCTGCCACAGTTTCATCTTGCTTAGTCAAGCCGGTTGGTCAGGTTCAGTCCCACTTCCCCAACGACTCCCTGAAACCTGCAAGTCATCTCTGGAAAGAACCAGTATCACCTGGAAGCTTCACCTTGGGCTGCAGACACGTCGTCTTGCCAGGGTGACCTCTTGCACTTTGAAGATGACGCGGGGCTTGGACGTGGAGTTGAGTTTGTTTCAGGCCACTTCTCTTGGCAGAGTTTGTACACGTCCCACGGGATGGACTGTTTGTCCCCAAAGTAGCTGGGGAAACCAGAGCGACATGGCGAATGAACCCATGGGGCTAGACTCAGCCGGTTTTGGAATGCACGGATCTTGGGCCCAGTGGATCGATTGATCCCAAAGTTGGACGGCTGGAGCTCAAATCGAGCGAATCCTCTGAGAGGATGCGCCATAGGCAGCATTCCGGCGGAATGTATGAACACATCAATGAACCCTGGTGTTAAGACCGTTGCTTAGTCAACCAGCCACCAAAGTGGCCAACACATGGGATGTTCATGGGTTCAATGTGTGCCCATACAATCAGCCTTTGAGCGCACTGCCCTTTTCGCACCACGGCACCACACGTTGTCTTCATCTTGAGTTTCCCAAGGCATCAAAACGAGTGACACGCATCTACTGCTTGCGGCATCCTGGCGGCTTATCCTTTCGCCCCAAAAGCGTCCCAAGGTCCGCAGTTTCGGCAGGGTGAACTGGTTAGTGTGGCGTGAAAGAACCGAAGTGCGGTTTCAGCGAGCATTTCGTCCAACGTTTGCCAGTTGATCCTTTTTGCCAGAGCCGTACGGGGGCTTTAAAGGGGGGACCGCGACCTGAGGATCAGAGAGCAAGTTGGAAGGGGCCTGAAAAGGGAAAGTGCCGTTTGATGATTGAGTTGTCAGTCCGCCCTTCTGGAAGAACAGCAAAAGCCCATTCCAGCCCTGAATCCAATGGGAAGGAAGAAGTTGAAGACAGACGGGCGATGGTTTGAATGCCAGCAGGCACAAGCCGGAAGCCAGTTTGGTGTCCTTGCATGGAATGAATTTGATGTCTGTGAGTTTCCAGCACAGGCTGAAATAAGTTACACAATTCAAGAGAGGCGTGTCACACGAGGCGTTTTTGCCTGCAAATGTCCTCCTTGAGGCGTGATTTCCATCTATTGACCCTTACATTCGGTTTTCAGACCCAAGCCAACAATCTAAAAGAAACAGTATGTTTAATCAACACTCAACCCAAGGCTTGTTTTGTGAATCAAGGCCCACTGGTATAAGTTCGACCACATTCGACCGCCCTTGGAGTTACGCTTTCTAAATCGACACATCAGCGAAGCGATGAGTCGGCGAAGCGATGGCTCGGCGATTTGGTTTTTCCCGAGCGAAGCGACGAGCGCCTGTCCCGCGAAAGCGGAAGGCAGGCGGAGCGCGGACGGCCCATGAAAGAGCTGCGGGATGCTGCGGGTGGTACTGTGCCCTTGAGGCGAACCTGGAAACTTCCCGGGACCCTCAAGGCCCTCGAGTCGACTTTCCTTTTGATGTAGACTTGTTGGCCTGGGAGAGGGCAGGAAGGGTATATTTCTCCGAGAAGTGTGTTCCTTGTCTGCCCTCACACGTTTTGTTGTGTGTTCTCAAGCCCGCAATCCAAACCTGCGATACAGGCTTTGCAATTGGTGTGGTAAAAGCAATTGTCGGAGGGCCTTACATTTTGTTGGAAGGATCATACATTGGGGTCAGACGAAGTTGAGGAGTTTAAGTGTGATCATACATTGCTCAGGTCGGAGAGCCATTTGAAGTGCTTTCCCACTTGAATGGTGCTCCGTTTGGGAAATCATCACCCCTTGTTCACTGGCCGGGTTGCATCCGCAAAGCACTTTGCGCTTGAACAACTCTTGGCCACCGGGCAAACGGGAACTCCCGACCTGGTTGCCACCTCGGACACGGATGCGTCGCCTGCCTCAGGATGTCGGATGAATGGAAGCAGACAGACACCGGCCAGTCAAAAGACACTAGTGGACTGAGGCAAGAAGGCATTGAACTGAAGCAAAGACGACTGCGCTTCAAGATATGTGATAGTCACTCTTTGTGCAAATGCGGAACCTCGATAGCGGAAACTGACAGGTTTGATTAAAGAGGGGTTGTCCAACATGGAATCAAGAGACCCTCTTTCGGAGCGTCGAAGGCTCTTTTGGGAGTGCTATCGCTGGATGCTGTTGCAACATACGTAGACTATACCTTTCAGTTTTCCCGAATGGAAACCGAAACGGGCTGGATATTCTGATTGCTTTTCCAGACCCCCAACTTAGCCCCATATGGGTGTGTCTCACATAAGAATTGGACCTTAAAGTGGATGGTGCCCTTTGGCTTCCCTTTACAACTTGCTGGTTCTCAGCAGGGAATGAGGGAATGCCCCCCCCCAGAAACCATCTAGGTTGATTCCCAACACCCTGGGTTATTCCCCACTGAGCACCCGCAAGACAACCAACCCCCAAAAGGGTATCGACTTCAAACCCACACGTATCAAACAAACGCGCAGTGCTGATGAAACTCTTCGAGTAGCCGATGGCGCGTCTGGCGGCTGGAGAGGCCTAGCGGCTTTCAGATCGAGGGAGAAAGATCAATATATATATATATATATATGTCTCAAAACAGAAAAGACCCCCTGTTCGGATGGCACATGGAAACCAAAAGGAAAGGGCTATCTCTATTTGGGGCAATCCCCATTTGGTATCATATCCACCAAACCAGTGCATAAACTGGAAGGCCTCCCAGTGCATGAACTGGCAGGCCCGCCCCAGTGCATGAACTGGAAAGCGGAGACGCTACAAACAAAGTCATGAAAAGGAAAGCAAAGGAAGTGAAAGGGAACACCTTTCACGGACGCCAGTAGAAGGCAAGGGAATAGCAAATTCACATTCCGGCGAGAGCCCTTGTGCCTGTGAGGCTGGGGGGCGGGGAGGTTAAGCGAGCGCAAGCCCTGGAAGGATCCTTGTGGGCTCCGTTAGGTTGCGGCGATGCGCATTAAATGGGTTTGTCTTTTTTGGGCGACCCCCCCCAAAAAAAAAGCAAGACATGTCGGCGTTCCTTGTGGTTTACGCTTAAAGCAGACCAAAAGAGCTTAAAAAGGGGTACCCCGAAAATGTTGAGCCATGTTTTCGGAATCCATGGTTTTGAAGATGCATTTGAGAAGCTTCTTGGAGCAATGAGCATGAATCCATTTACCTCTCCCCTCTTTGAGCTTGTTCGAAAGCTAAACCATAGAACCCCTTTTCCAAAGGGGGGCAAGAGGGGAAAACGAAGCAGAGCCACATGGAAACCAGAGGATCTCACAGCTGAGATGCTTTTGGGAATCCGAAGGAACGGACCCCCCCACACATATGGTTAAGGAAAACCTCCCCTGTTTTGACGCACAAATATTAGTTCCGCTGGTGGTCGGTAGTTGAAGGGATTTTTCTTTTGTTCGGGGGTTCCCATTTTTTAGGGGTAAACCAATGTCAAAATGTCCCAAAGAAAATCCCCACCCAAGCACATATTTTGGGTAAGTCTCAAATTACCACCCAAAAGTCCGATCTTCCTCGACTTTCCCTTCGAAGCCTGCAAACCACCGGAAAAGAATCCTACGCTTTTCCCTCAACGTTTCCCTCCCGAAAATGAGTTTCACTCCACAGAAAGACGAGGCGCCCATTTGGCTTCGGCTTCGGCGACGCCTCGTAGGCCTTGGCACGGGACTTCCTGAAGCTCGAGGCCCGCAGGGAAGACCTCGAGGCGCGGCCAGTTTTCGACCAAGGTGTTGGTTTGCTGTTTATGTTGTTGCTCAGTCGTTTATAGTTGTTTATGTTATATGGTTATGTCTGTTTGTCTATTTTGTTCATGTTGTTTATTGCTGTTTATGTTTGTAGCTCGTTGCTTTTGGTGTTGTCGTCTGTTTTGCGTTCTCCGGCCGGGTTTTGGTTGTGTTTGTGTGTGTGTGTGCCTTTGTTTATTGTGCCTCTGTTATGTTGAATGGGGGGGGTAGTATGTTGTTTTTCGTGGCGGGGTAGAGGCGCATCAGCCACGATGTCAAGGATGTAGCAAGACATGTTGTTGTGACAGGCCAACTACTCAAGGATGCGATGCCGGTATTGCATATCATGTGACATATGCCCCAATCAGTGGCGACAGTGTCCTTGATGTCAACAAGGCCGACCACGCGGCGTCAATGATGACAATGTTGTTATCAATGTGAAAAATGCGTGCAATGCTTGTGCTGTCGACAGCACCAACGATGTAGTTGTTTGGTGATGTGCCCGCAATGTGAATTATGTTGGTGAGACAAGGGTCACTGATATCAGTAGTTTCACGAATGTCAATTATGCCAATAATGTCAGTTATGCCAATAACGTCAATGATGCCAACGTAGTGATTCAATTGATGTGCGCAATGACAGGGATGTCAATGATGCGGACGATGCAAGTGATGTTCAGCAACGGACCAGTTCCGCAAGTAATTCGACTTGCGTTGTTGGCGCCAGCAGCAAGTGATGTCAGCACCACGATGCTAACAGTGTTGATGTTGTCGAGGATCAATGATGTTAAATAATGTGAAGGATATTGACGATGCCAACACTCAAGAGCATATACTTCCAAACGTCGAAATTGTACCCACCATTGGACCATGTCTTGCCTGACTGAACGGGGGTTTCTATTTACTATGTGTTCAGCGTGTCCTAGTCAGCGCAATATAGCTAAACGTTCCTCTTAGTCTTGGTTCTGGTCAAAAAGCCGGAGTTTCCCAATAGGAAACATCCATGTTGTTTTTGTAACCAGGTGGGAACCAAGAGCGCGGCAAGGCAAAGCAGTGGCGATTCTTGGAGAATGCGCAGAATCGGCAGAAGGCGCCGGTGGGGCACAAATGCAGGTCGCCTGATGAGAACCCAAAAGGATGTGTCTCAAAGTCTTACAGTGGGCCCCCCAAAAATGGTGGTATTTCCTTGCAAGTGTCCTTTTCCTTTCAAAAGGGCCCCAAACAGCTGCGTAACTAACAAAATTAGATATTCCCCAAAGTGGATGGAACATGCGACTATCGCCAGACCGCCATGGGAGGTTTGGCCAGCCCGCCCTGGGGTCCCTGAGCCGAGAACCGTTCCTGAGCTTGAACAGCGAAAAGGGAACCCTTTTTGGGAGATGAAACAGAGAAGCAAAAGAAAAGCCAACAAACTCAAGTGAAGCCAACCAGAATCCAACAGTGTCCCCATAGCGGTTGTCAAGAACTCAGGGCCCTGGCATCATGCGAGCCCGTTCACGAAGGGTGACTTGAATTGACAAGTCACATAGCTGCTTGCTGTTTGTATCCTTTCCCACGTGTCTATTGATGAGTAGGTTCATGGCCATTTTCAAACAGGTGTTCCAATGGGAATGGTGTTGACGTGCCCGACCTACCAATTGCGAAGCTTTTTCACCCCAATGAGCCTCCTTGACCACATCAATTTTGATCAGACACATGCCCTAACAGAACCCAACAAGCTCGGTTCATGTGAGCCGAAGCGGAGACCACTCCCGAAGCGGAGCTCTTCTTCCACTGAAAGGGGATCAGTGAAACAGATCGCACGGCAAGCCGAAGACACAGCCAAGCATCGTCAGACGTGAACAACACACACGAAGGCACAACACAACAAGCAACATGACACACACACACACACATGCACCACCATTCACAGCATAGAATACGAAAACATGTCTGAAGCTAAAACATGAAAAGACAATTACCCACCAAAAAGACGCCACCGCTATCAGTTTTGCCCAAACCTAAATGGTGTTGCTTAGCAATATACAGACACAAAAACCAACAACCCCACAAACACCAACAAACCAAGCCACCAAGAGCAACCAAACAGAACTAACCACCAACAACAACCCAAAACCACCACCCAAAAACACGAGGAGAAAAGCACCGGTTTCCCAGCCCCCAAAAAGAGGCAGAAACAAGACTCAAACAAACGCACCACGTGTTCCGCTGAAGCGATTTTTCAGACCCTGGAGCAGCGCCGCGTGGCCTCGGTGAGTGTCCTGGAGCGCCGGCTCCGGACGGAGGCGGGGCCACTTTTTGGCATGGGCACTCTACAGACTCTACGGGTCTATTTTGCGACCACCTCTCGTGATCTTTTACGACCTCACACGACCGAGTTCACCCCAAATGGTGGGTTTATGTGGGGAACAGCCCACGCACCTTATTTCAGGTTGGTGAAATATTATTGTGAACCAAAGGATTTCGTTTATAGGCAGATGTATAGGCAATCAACCATGCACAATGGAAGCCGTTTTGTGTCGAGGAAAAGACCGCTTCTGAATAGCGGCACCACAGGTTATGAGCCCAAACGCCTAAAACAGGGGCCCTCGCTTCGCAATGGAACAGACAAGGGCATCAGGGAGTGGAGAACATCAAGAAAGGCTCGATTCTGCCGAAGGAGAAGAAGCGGAGGTGGAGGGCCAGGAAATGGTGCCCTTTGCTGGAGGAAGAAGGCCTCCGAGGAGGATGGTGGAGGTGGTGAGGGAGTTCGACAAGTGGGACGAGAAAGCACCGTTGCTGAGGGGACCGCGGATGGACCAACCGAGGCCGGCGCACTTGCCCGTGGAGAGTAGCCTGGAGGGAGACAATCCGGGTGGTGGCCAACTTCGACCGAGGTACCTACCCATGGAGAACCCGGAGCCGGAGGGCCAGATGATGAAGATGATGGCGGTGTCTCAGGATGCGAGGACGACACCATCGGCAACGGGAGTGGACCCGGTCTACCTCATGCAGATGATGCAGGAGCTGATGACGCGGAATCAGAGGCTTCAGCATGAGGTGGAAGTGCTGAAGAAGCAAGGAAAGGAGACGGACGCTGACTACGGCACGCCGGAGAGCCGGGAGAAGGTGAACGGCATGATCACGGTCAGGGACAATCAGAACCACGAGCCATACGGCCCGACCCGCGACCACCCGAATGGCAAGGTCGGAGAAGGCGGACTTGGAGCTGGTGGTGAAGAAGGAAATGCTCGGGATGAGCAGGATGGCGGTGCCTCGGAAAGGGCAAGCGATGTGGCCGGATCCGGAAAGGGTGGCAACCAGATGGACGTAATGCTGAAGCTCATGGAGGGCATGCAGATGATGCAGAAGCAGCTCTTGGACCAGAAGGAGAAGCAGGAGACCATCGAGACGGTCAAGGCGGGCTTCACGGAGTTGCCTCGACCTGAGTGACAGCTCGATGGAATGGTGGGACCTACTCCTAAAGGAGGCCCGCGAGTGGTACGAGGAGTACATGAAGGAGATCCCGCTGAACAGGGTCAACATGGTGCCCAGGACGCCGGAGGTGTTGGGGATAAGGAAATGGAGTCGGTTGGAAAGGCGGGCAGCTTCGCTCATCATCCAGGCGGTTCCGGAGACGGTGAGAGACGAGATGATCGCCACGAATACGGTGTCGGCCCACGGGATCTGCAGGCTTCTGGTGGTGTATCAACCAGGAGGTCTCGGAGAGAAAGGAGTGGTACTACGGGCGTTGGAGGAGCCGGTGGAAGCTGCTACGATCCCGGAGGCACTCAAAGGTTTGAGAAAGTGGCTGAGGTGGAGGCGGCGGGCGAGCGAGATGAACTTGGCGTTGCCGGACCCGACGGTCATGATGAGGGGCCTCAGCAAGATGATTCGAAAGGTGGTGGAGACGAACCGGGAGCTGACGTTCCGGATTTCCCTTGCCCGGAACACGCTGCGGGTGGACAGCGTGCCGACGCATGGAACGGTGCAGCAGTTCGCGGAGCACGTCTTGGCCGAACTGGAACAGAGCAACCAGGGGGGTGAGAGAAAGGTGACAAAACCCGTGGACGTCAAGATCCGGAAGGTCGAGACAGAGAAGGAGCAAGGGACGGGACGTAGAGACCTAGTTTGCAGGTTCTACATGAAGGACGCTGGCTGCAGAAAGGGCCGGAGTTGCGAGTGGCAGCATCCCACGGATGAGACCGCAAGAGGACGCTGCTGGGAGTGTGGATCAGTGGAACACAGGAGGAAAGACTAAGCCGACATCACCCGAGAAGCCGGCGGCTGTGAGAAGGGTGGCCCAGGAAAACGACGTGGCAACGACACCGGCTTCGGCACCCTCACCCAAGAAGGAGGAGATCAAGCCGATCCGGGAAAAGGAAAAGGTAGTGGAAGATTCGAAGAAAGACAAATCTATGGGTGGGGTGTTGCAGGAAGCAGCAAAGATGCTACGGAGCCTCAACGCCTCGCAGGGAGTCAAGAAGGTGGACGAGAGGAACGACCGCTTGGATGACCTGCAGAAACAGCTGAATGGGTTGAGATCCGGGTCTCTCAAAAGGGCCCAGGTAAACGCTCAAGGGAGGTGGAGTGATGGTGGGCTACTGGACTCTGGAGCTACGCATCCTCTACGGGCCCGGCAAGAAGGTGAAGACATCGAGAATCTGGACAAGATCGACGTTGCCCTGGCCGGAGGAGAGATGAAAGTCATGCGGATCACGGAGGGAGGCATCATCGTCCAGGAGAACGAGGGCGTGGGCTCCATCATTCCGTTGGGTCTGCTGGTGGAGAGGTTGCACTGCGTGGTGACGTGGGATGGGGAGGAGTGCCGCGTGGTACATCCAGAGCTGGGAGCTTTGCGGATTCACATTGAGGATGGATGCCCCTATGTGACCCAGCGGACGGCGACGAAGTTGCTCGGGGAGCTTGAGAAAAAGGGGAAAGAGAAAAGGAAGGGCCGGATTAGCGAAGTGAAGCAAAAGAAGGTCCTGGACTGGGAAACGGTCAGAACGGTGGTGGAACTACATCCTGCATTTCGTGACCTACCGGAGGAGGTGCGAAGGAAGGTTCTGGTGGAGCCGGCGGAAACATTGCGGGCAATCCCATGGAATCGGAGACGGAGAAGATCCTTGGAGCAGAAAGGCCGGAAAGCCATCCTGCACCTATACGCGGGACCCCGTGAAGGATACACACTGGAACGGGCGGTGAAGGAGCTTGGAGGCGACCACATGGACGTCTTGGAGATGGATTTGCAGCGTGGGCCGGAGCACGACATGATGTCGGACGAGCTCTATGCAGCCCTGCTGCGGGGCGCGTTGGATTCCCGTTTCGATGCGGTGGTGGGTGGACCGAATTGCCGGACCAGGAGTGTGCTCCGACATTATCCACTACCTGGCGGTGGTCCACGACCGGTTAGGTCACCAGAAGAGCCGTTTGGGAGGAGCGACCTCACGACGCATGAGAAAAAGGAGGACGACGTGATGATGTGGCGGATGTTGACCATCTACCTGGTGGCGGAAGAAGCGCGGAATGCGAAGGGAGGCCCACAGGTTGGCTTTGTGTTGGAGCAGCCGGCGGATCCCAGGAAGTACATGCCTGGATGCCCGACCTTTTGAGGAACGACCCAGTGGAAAGCATTTGAGGAGATGGAAGGCATGGCCGAGTACGAGTTCTACCAGGGGGACTTCGGAGGAGCAGCACCAAAGCCAACCTCTACATCGACCTGCCTGGGAGAAGGGTGACGGGGCTGGTGTCGAGAGCCTGAATGGAAGAGGTGGACCTCAGAGACTCGAAGAACCTCGCAAGGTGGGCTCCAGGACTCATGAGAGAAGTGGCGAGAGCGATTCTGACGCAGGTCAGGAAGCAGGTGGTGAAGCTGCGGAAGCTGAGTTGGCAGGAGCACATCGCGGCGGGACATTGCCCGATGAGAAGGGACTGCCGAGTTTGTCAAGAGGCTAGTGGTCAAGACCGACCCCATCGGAGGATCAAGCACAAGCACGCCTACTGCCTTTCGTTGGACCTGGCCGGACCACTGAAGAAGGGAAGAGACATCGATGGGCGGAGCTGCAAGTACATGCTGGTGGGCGCCTACACCTGGCCGAAGAATCCGCTGAAGTCTGAGGAGATCCCGGAGAAGGAACGAGATGGAGGTGGAGAAGCTGGCAAGGCGAAGGGCCTGGAGGAGGTGAAGAAACCGGACCAACCTGGGCAACGACCGGAGGACTACTGGACCACCAGCGCCAACGGCAAGTACGTGATCAGGGTGCACAAGAGCCACCGGAAGGTAAGGTTCTTTCCTGATGATGCCCCAGGATGTCCGGTGAATGTGGAGCAACTACGGGGAAGGAGGAGAACCATAGCACGGACAACTAAAGATGGTCCGCTGAAGATGTTCATGGACGACTGGAGGAATGCCGAAAAGACGGAAACTCTCTTCTCTGCCTTGTTCTCTTATCCACCACTGTCCATCCACCTCGGCTGCAAAGAGCACTCTCCTCATTCTTGACTTCAAGTGCTTGATGGCCACTTCTGCTCGCCCGTTTGATCTCCAATCGTCTGCCGCCGTACTCGTCTTCGCGATGTCCCGGTTGAAGCACCACCGGCGCAAGGCATGGTTCATGAACTCCTTGCCCCTGTCGCTATGCAATCGCGCCACTGGAAAACCTTGGCGCTTCAGTTCCAGATACATCGTCTGTATGGCGTCCAAAACTTCTTTGCCTCCTTTCGTCGAGAGAGGCACTGCCAGCGTGTGGACTTCAATCTCCAGCGGCTCCTCTCTCTTCTCCTCATCCTCTTCGTACTCGTCCAGGTCGCCTTCTTCCATCTCTCCATCTTCCTGTTCTCCGACCAACTCCTCCAGCTCGAAGTCCCAGATCCCTTCTGGGGGTTCTGGATCAGCCGGATCATGAGGGTCTCCTTCTTCCTTCTCTTCTTCCGGGCCCTCTAGCTGGAAGATCGTCCGCCCAGCCCATCGGCTCTCGTCCTCAAAGACCTTTACCCAGATTCTGCCAGGAGGTGATGGTGAAGAAAAGGAAGTGGAAGTCAGAGGAGCTGGGCCCAAGGCACGTCAAGGGGAAGTATTTGGCCCCGGTGGTGGATGTACCGAACGGTCACGCAGTGATGAGAGAGGATGGAACAGTCCAGGTCTCCCGGAGCCGGTGGACGGGTGGCAATTCGTGGAAAGGAGAGGTGATGAGGGAGAAGAGCGCGAGCCGGAGGAACCCTATCGTGTCCGGAGGAGGATAAGAGATAAGACCCAGAAGAAGGTGTTGGAAGACGAAGGGGTTCTGGTGAGGCTGCGGGCGCT